AGACTGTTTTATCTCCTATTACTATGTTAAAACTTCGCTACTACTAAAACTAACTACTATGTAAAAACTATGAATGTGTGAATGACCATCGTTTAACGTAACATAACTTAAATATGTCTTCATACTCTTTCAATTAAGCCAAACGGTATAATCTCTTTGAGCTATTAAATTACATTAATTGGGTGAGGGGACCATCTCTATTTACACAACGTCTTATAAACTGTATAATAAGGTCATAGAGTACATTTTTCATTGAAAGCTGACACAGACACGTCGTCTTTTGTTAGTATTCGCGAATTGATGCTGTCAATACTTTGGTGCAGTGGTTTTTGAGTTCTATTCTGTACTACTTAAGTTTAAATTTGGGATAAAGGGTAGTTGGCAATATTTTTGCTTGAAGCAGAGATGGGAGATATTTTGTGTAATACGATTATCTGCTAAGTGACATGGCGCTAATGATTTGATTCTGGATTATTTATTTTTATCATCACTTTGTATTAAATAATGTTTATTCGTTTACTAAGATGAACTTACGAACTGTAGGGAAACGTGATTTTAGTAGGATATGACTCGTGAAATCCACCAAATAGACAAACATTTATTCTACAAGACGATGAAAGCTTTAAATCAATGACTTACTTCATAACTTGGCATAATAAATATTTGCACCGAACGGAATTAAGAGTGATCAAAAGCCCTGGTGAAATTGCGGGTAACAGCTGAAAAATTGAATATTTTGTAGCCTAAAATAGGAAATACTATTCCTATTCCTTTTTATGGTAGGTATAATAGGGGGCAAACAAGCAGATGGGTCAACGGATGGTAAGTGACTACCATCATCCATGTCGTGCTATAGTTCATGTTTGTAGTCGGCGCATTGCAAAGTTTTGACTTGAATTTTTGGAATGTATCTAATCATTTTTAGACGGAAGAAATGAAGAAGATTTAGAGTAAGAAAAACGTAGGCATTAGCAAGGGACAAGAATATAGATCGTCCATGGAGACAGAGATTGCAGTATGCTCGAGTTTCTGAGGCAGAGGCCGGGCTACATATCCGTGATATCGTGTGATAATCCACTAGGACAGGAGTCATTAACTGGCTAATTTTTTTTTGTTAGTTAGCTATTGCCCGCGGCTCCGCCCGCGTGTATATCGGTTATCGCGGTAAAAAGTAACCTATGTTATTCGCTGATAATGTAACTTTCTATTGTTGAAATAATATTGAACAAACGCACTGTCACATTTCTAATATGGTACCTAACTACCTAAAAATACTAAATGGATTATAACTCAAGAGAACAAGACATAACATAGTTTTAGGTATCCGAATTTTATATTACCCCTCTGTCTACTCCTTCAGGGATAAAGGCGTATATGTACTAATTAGGTAGTTCCTACCTATGGTTATTCAATATTAACCAATAAGTGTTACCTATGTTAATTTATTAATTGGTTTTACCTACTAAAGATCACATCTTAACGTATGAAACTAAATAATAGGTACCTAAATTCATTAGGTACCTATATACAAGTAACTATACCTAATTTTTTATGTATTGGCATTTACCACGTGTGGTAACGGTATTGAGAATACGGAGTGTCATCACCCCTATTCATCCCGTGGGCTTCGTAAGAGCCGATTAAGGAAGCAAACTACGCAGAATGACAGCATAGCAAAAAGAAGGAAAACTTGACACAAACCAAACCGTCTGGCCAGCGTGGTATGGTAGGCCAAAACCTCCTCTCTAAGGAGCCTATGTCCAGCGGTGGACTGTTAAAGGCTGTTCATGATGATGATAACGATGATTACCTAACCCTAATATTACTTAGTTATATTTACTTCCAGTGCTTTGTTACAGCACTTTCATGAGAGAAATTCTCTTATGAAGGCTAGCGAGTACCTAGATATATTTTATTTCATTTTATTTAAAACATAATGCACACATTGTACAAAGGCGGAGTTAACGCCATGAGTCAACTTTTAGGTGATGTATAAATATGAAGCGGTAGGTCGAATAAAATATTAAATTTGACAGAGGTAGTACTTAAAAATTAAATATTAGATAAAAGATAACATTAGATAGGTATAATTAACTAATATACATAAATTCACTGCTACGTATTATATGTACATAGAAGTCCAAAATTATACACAATATATAAACACACATAGGTATACATAGATTTAATGTGATATAAAAATACACGGTCGGGTAACTAGCGTTGTGATTTTTTTGCCAATTCTTACCGAAGAAGATCGCGTACTTTTGTCTTAAATATAAGGCGGTATGTGGACATCCTGGTTTTGGCAGGGAGCCCATTTCAGAGAAGAACTGACTGCACATAGAAAGAGGAATTGGAGGTATCGGAGGTGTGAGTGGGGCATACAAGTAGCATATTGTTTGTTGACCGAGATTTCGGTCGTGATTGCATACTATTGGTACTACATATTTGTACTAGGTATTCAGGTAAGGATGGAGAGTTTAGGTAAGAAAAGAGAGAAGTCAGTGCTCGCAAACGAATTGGAAGCCATTGCAACTGGGAACGTTAAGCAAACATATGGTCATAATTGCGAAGATTGAAAACGAATCGAATGCAGTTATTGAGAAGACGATCTAGTTTATTGAGAAGGTCTGCATTCGGGTCAAAATAACACATCACTATAGTTGATTAAGGGAATAATTAAGGACTACATAATCATAGCCTTAATTTTATACCATACCTACATACCTAACTGAAAAATGCGATTATGGCATTTTTGGTTTGTTTGCTATATTTCCACACCTAAACTACTCAACCGATAATTTTAGTTGGTACCTACAGGTAGGTATATAAAGATCAGGAAAGCTTATCTTTACACTAACGTGTTCCTGTGATTCAAATTAGCTTTCGAAAGCTCTCTCTCAGAAGTAATGTAGTCAGCTTACATTGGATAACCATGGTCTTATTTGATTGATCTACTTTCCTGGATGCAAAATACCGCTAAGTACCAATCTTGTGCAGCTCTAACTTTTATGATTAAGTAGGTATATCCTCCTATTACGTGGAGCCATTGATTGTTTGCTAAATCTGCCTTCCTCTCTTCTGAACTTTCATCATGGATATTGATATATTGGTTGAAACCATGGAAGACTTTAGCACTATGCTCGATGATCTTAATAGGGTCTCTAAACGAATGGGTCTTAAAATTAACATGTCGCACCTACTCCTATGAAAATTGGAGACTCCACGCTCGAACTTGGTGACGACTACGTTTACCTAGGACAAACTATCCAGTTAGGTAGTCTAACTTCGAAAAATAGGTCAATCGTCGAATCCATCTACGTTGGGCCGCGTTCGGGAAGTTGCGTGACATATTCTCGTCCCAAATACTGCAGTGTCTCAAAACAAAAGTCTTTAACCGGTGTATGTTACCAGTGATGATATATGGTGCAGATACGTGGTCGCTTACAATGGGCCTTATAAGAAAGCTCAAAGTCACCCAAAGAGCACTGATGAGGATGAATGCTCGGCGTTTCTATGCGTGATTGAATCAGGAATGGCAGCGTTGGTAGGCCCCCTCAAGGTGGTCCGACGATCTGGTGTAGGCTGCGGGAAGCTGTTAGATGAGGGCAGCACAGGACCGGTTGTTGTGGCGAACCTTGGGGGGGGGGCGGCTATGTCCAGCAATGGACGTCTTTCGCCTGAATGATGTTGATGATGAGATAACCAAATCATCGAATTCTTGACCGTATCAAATGTTGTTCAAGAATATCGTATTTAGTTACAGTTTAGAAGCTAACATTATAAATCACCTAAAATCTAAAAGATTCGTAGTTAAATATGACCGAGTTGAACATCAAATAAAACAAAAACATATTGTTGGTATTAAAACTAATTTAGTATTTGTTGGGCCGCCGCTCCGGCTGTACTGAATCTCCATTTCGGAACTTGAGAACAAAACGTGACAGCTCCTCACCTACCCGGGCCGTGTCATAAACAAATCAACATGGCCGCTCCGCCCGAGATATTAATGAGACAATGAGACATTAGCTCGCTACAAAATGCCTCCGCATTCGCGAATAATTAAATCGTAAAGTCCCCTCTACGCCGCCTACAGCACTCCTCTATTTACTCCTTTTTCATTCAACACAATAGCCACTGCAATCCTACACGTTTGAAGCCATTACGTCACTTCATTGTAATAAAGCATACTCTAAATTAAACCTTACAGTTTTATTTCCAAAACTCAAATTGGTTTGTATCACTAAAATTGTATAAGGCGTATTCCGTAGAGGCTATTAATTTGAGCGCGACGGACCCCGCCTACTCAATATCGCGTTTACACACATGTCGGATTGTATCGTCGTCTCGTTCCCTCCGCGCCGCTTATTAAAATTCCTCGGTCGGTAGCTGCATCTCTGTCGGTGTGCCGGGAGGAAAGGCGGTCCGGCCGCCAACTGCGCCCCAATGCTGGCGCGATTTTCACCGCGCTTCCACGCGAATCATTACGCGGAGATATCGCTCGTTTCCGAACGCATTCGCAAGTTTACGAAAGCGACGGGCTTCGCGGTTACACGTTCCAATTTCGAATTCACACTCTTATTTTAAATTTTATATACGAGTGCTGTCAGTGTGCAAATTTTTTGTTACTCTATAGTGATGTACTGACAGGACTATCACATCGAAACTCTTTACGTAAATAGTGCCAATTAGTAGGTGTGCAAACCATAAATAAATTCACTAATTAGGAAGAGAGGTTGCAAAATATCAACACTTTTAGTTCATTAGGTTGTCTATATTGATGGAACAATGCGGACAATTAAGAAATAAGGTACTAATTGTTTACATAAGTAACTGACAATACAATGAGACAAATGAACTTTAATACCCAGTGTAGTTAAATCGCTGTTTGTGACTGAAAGGTTATTGTGACAGTATATTATCAACGAAAACTCAAAATGGCGCTTTGACCGTCGGTGTTATAGTCGATGTCAGCGTAATGTCATCGAGCAGATGAAATGAAGACGTCGCTAGAATGCGAGAGAGCCGAGACCGCCGACAGCGGCGGGAAAGGCAGAATATCATTTAGCGTTGACTCACTCCTCGGCAGCAAAACGGATATACCTCCGAAAGAAACTACTGACACGAATAGCAATGACGCGGAAAGTACTGATGCAGCGCCGGAGACGGACGATAGTGATGTGGACATTGAAGATGTTGACTCAAATGTCGACGAGAGAGAAGAGCGAGACCCTGGTGGGGAGGGTGAGGAGTTGGAGACCAGGGGAGGCGTGGTTGTACCTCAACCACTGCTACCAAGATTGTACCAAGGACCGCCGCCGCATTCGTGGCCGTTTGGAGCCTTTCCATGGATGGCGCCAAATCCTATGTTCAGAGCGGGATCTCCGAACAGTAAGTTATTTTCAACTGTTATTAGTTATTAAAATTTCTTATTAAAACATAAATTTTGGCTAGAGCCTTGTCCGTTGCATTTCTTTGTTATTCATATTTTATTCCACGAACGCATAACCATTTTCTAAATAGGTACCTAATTGTCATCGATTACAGCATTGACTAAAATAAAAACTGAATACTAATCTTATTGGAATCTAATAGACAGCAACTGATTTCTTTTGCCGTCAATAAACAAATAATATTTAGTGTAAAGAAAGCTGTGACACTATATTTTATTTTCAAATATCTTTCAAATATCTATAAGTATTTAAAATAGGTATAATACCTCAATTAATTTACGATAAAAAATGAGTAATTAATAAATTTAAGTATGTAAATGTGAAACTCAATGTTAAAATTACCTACTTTTATTTAGGTACCTAACGATACTTTGTTTAGTGAAAAAAAACATTTTCAGTGAAAGTATAGGTAGGTTAGTCAGCTATTTCATTAATTTGAATTTAATTAAAGTTTAAAAATAATAGTAATTTTAAATGTTACTTTTGGTGTAGTAACATGATTCGACGTTGACGAGTTTATTAGAAAATGTAAAAACATGAAAATATTTCGAACTATTTGTTCCGCTTTTGTTTCTCAAATATTTATTATATTATTATTATATTATTTATTCTTTAAAATTGTCTACGTTATTTATTATAAAGAACTAAGTTTTCAAATGAGAGGTGTTCAAATCATTAACACTGTCTTGTATGCTGTGATTAACAGTGTACTTAGGTAGGTACCTAACCATTCGAAGGAGAAAAATTCGATTGCAAACTTGAATTAATATACCAACCTGGTAACATAATTAATGTGTAAGATATATTAGTTTTTCTCGGCTTGTAATTTTGGTATCAATTCGTGTATTATAATAGCAGCGCTATCCTTTTTGCAAAGAGAGATATTTGTCCTGAACCTCATATGTAATCTACAGGTAATGTCTTTCATGGTAATTGGTTTAGCAGTTAAGGTATGTTAGTATATTTATTTTTGTTACATTTGTTTGTTTGTTACGCTTTCACGCCTAAACCACTAAACCGATTTCAAAAATTCTTTCACCAATGGAAAGCTACCCGATATGCACACAAAATTTCACGAAAATCGGTGGAGCCGTTACGGAGGATTTCAACTTCCAACATCGTGACACGAGAATTTTATATAGGTATTAGAAATTCTGCTTTTACTTTTTTTACTTATTTATTTATTGTTACAAAATAAGGCACACAGTTTAAACAGTAAGATGCCGCATAAACTCATTCGAGTTTTTCCGCACATCAGTGTCGTCACTAATACCTATTTAAATATACTTATATATACTTAAACAGTTAATTATTCTAAATTTATACATTGACTAAGGCAACAAAATCATACATATCACAACATCATCAACATATCACCATTGTACTTACATATATCAGAAAAAAAAAAATTGAGTGGTTAGTCATTTGACAACCGGATGGCGTAGTGGTTTGTGTAACGGACTGCTATTCCAAAGGTCGCGGGTTCGATTCCCGCTCAAGTCAAACATTTGTGTGCATGAACATTTGATGTTTGATTTGGTTTGGGTGTTTCTATGTATAATATGTTTACAAAAAAAGTCTAGTACCCGTAGTACAAGCTCTGCTTAGTTTGGGACTAGATGGCGTTGTGTGTATGTGGTAGAATATTATTATTTAATTTTATTATTATTATTGTAGGTTGTAGGTTCAGTTACTTGCCAGTGCGTAATACGTCACAGACAGTTCCGCACATTGTCGACCATTGCCGATCGGCGACCCGATCGCAACATGTTTCATACAATACGAAACGCGATATACAGAGTGATGCATTACAATAATTAAGTTAATCGATGCAATTTTAAAAGTATTAATATCATAAAAAAACATTAATTTCATGATCGATATGTATGCATGCGTTTAAACGTTAGCATGGAACAACAGTAACCTCTGCAGTCTCATAGATATTAATCATAAACAGGTTACGATAAAGTAGATCTTTATCGCACCATAACCTGCTTTTAGAATAAATTTCGTTGCAATAACAGCTTAAATATAATATCAGTTATAATAATAACTAGCGAGTAGGGGGAAGTCCCCTAGTGCCGGACACATAAGGTTTTCAGGAAATAAAATTAAAACTACATCGAGAAATATGTATTTATTTATGAATTACTTAAATTAACAAAACATAAAATCAAAATCAAATAACAAAAATACAAATTCTGCGTAAACATAGTTTAGGAGTGTTAAATAAGTTTTGGTAAAAAAATAAAGGACTTTGACATTGGCACCTAGTACCGGACGGGTTAATCTTCAAACCCCAAGCGCCGGACATTCTAAAACTTTTAGCATCTATCACATATGTAGGCATCTCCACATTCTGGAACGTCTGCACATGCTTCATGAGCCCATTATTGGCATCTGGAGCATTGTATCCAGTCCTCGTCGTGGTCTTCTAAACACACTACACAAGTCGTTTTTTCTATATTTGATACTTCAGTTAACGGCTCCTTTTTGTCGTCGTTATTGCCACGTTTGGTTTGTTTACTCATGGGGAATCTTCATAGCTTCAGCCAAGTCGTAAGCTAACTTCAAAAACTCGTTTTTCATCAGGGGCAGACATCTATTAGACAAATCTCTTATGTGGTCCACTAAAACTTGCTCATACTCGGGTGAGAAGGTTTTTGTGAATCTACCAACTTTTGGTTGCAACGTGACTTCTTTTCCACTGCTCAATGTCGTTATTTTATCATGTAGAGTACTTTTTGGAACATTGTAACGTGACGAAGCTGCCCTCAAACTCATTTTTTTGGACAAAATCTTGTTCATCGCAGTTTTTAAACTTTGCTGATCCCATTTTCCATTTTTTTTCTCTCTTGCATTTTCAAATATCTCTCTCCTTCTATCCTGTAAAACAACAAACAATCATCATTACAATAAGTACAAATGCTTCATAAAAAAGCTAACCTATAAACTGTCCGGTGGTAAGGGACACCTTTGTGTCCGAAAGTAGGGGACAGGAAACGTCCAAAATTACGTATTTCATACTAAAACTGTTTAGGTATTTAATAAAAACTTTCACAATATAATAATTATAGTGAAACACTGTCTTTATTAACAAATAACAAAAACAATTCAGGATAAAACCATAGCAGTAATACTTACTTGAAATTTACGTGACGCAACGTTTTCCCACCAAAAACAGCAATTCACGGCTTCCACCACGACTGTGCGCCTCACTGGCAAATCGCGTTGCGTGATCCTGTCTCGCTACGTTCCCCCGCACCCCTTTCACCGATTTATAAATAGATCGCGTTGACGTTTGTCAAAATAGTATGAGTGTCCGGCGCTAGGTGCCGTCCGGCGCTACGGGACTTCCCCCTAATTAACAATTGTCGCCTACGGTACTTGCGATACTTCCAAACCTTCAAGAAAAGAGCGCACTCACACCTCAAAGACCGGCATCGTGCTTAGGTACGACTCCAGGGATTTCCTTTTTAGGGTACACCTGGTTCCCCGGCAACTGGTACCCGAGAGAGCGTGCGGTTTTTGGTCGGGTCGAGTCCGACATAACAACCCCACCCGTGAGTGGTATCCGAGGGGATTTCCGCACAGAAAAATAAGGCACGACTCTTGAGTTTAAGGCGTTGTTGGATAGTCACTTTCCATCACATGACCCATCTGCTCGTCTGCCCCCATAAGAATATCATAAAAATAGTAAACTGTGGTCTTAACTTTAGGATTCAACAACATTTTGGTAAACAAAAAGTTGGTATGTGTGTGCATACGTGTATTTGTTTGAGTGTGTGTGTGTGTGTGTGTGCGTGTGTGTGTGTTTTCGTGTACCTAGGTAGTTGATATTATTCAGTAGGATGGAAAAGTTTCTCCGATTCATTGCAGTTACGTTCTAGAAGCTAGTTAATTACTATATTTTTACATTCATATATATTCTTACAAATTAATTTTTAAAAATGATAAAAAAGAAATGTCTGAGGTAGCAAACAAAATGTAGGATATCTCAAAAAAACCTAATATTTTACTTTATTTTTAACTTAGTACCTACGTGTAATGTTAGTTAAAATTGCGTCCAAACATATGAACAAAATGGCAAATATTCAATAAACTATATTTTCAACCAACAACCTATTTAAGTAATTCGTGTGAATAGCGGTAATCATATATTTACTTAGAACAGGTAACTTTATAGTTACGCACCTTTTATTTAACTATGCCATCAGATATATACAAATAAGGTATATTTAAGTTGCTAATTAACATATAAATTAATTAATTAACAAATTTCTAAAGCTGTTACAACGGTACAAGGTGAAGTAGACTCATCAACTATATTAATTAGGCCGTTTAAGGAAACTAGACGTTATATATATAGATATGTAAATATATATGACGGCCCTGTTGGTCTAGCGGTTGGTGACCCTGACTGCTGAGCCTGAGGTCGTGAGTTCGATTCCCACCCAGGATAAATATTTGTGTGATGAGCACGATCGTTTGTTCTTTGTCTGGGTGTAATTTATCTATAATTTGTATATATGTATTTAGAAATTTATAAGTGTGTTTATCAGCAGTCTGGTTACCATAGCACAGGCTCTGCCTGGTTTGGGATCAGACGCCCGTGTGTGAGATGTGTGAGGTTATTATAATCTATACTAATATTATAAAGTTGAAGAGTTTGTTTGTTTGTTTGTTTGTTTGTTTGTTTGAACGCGCTAATCTCAGGAACTACTGCTCCGATTTGAAAAATTCTTTCAGTGTTAGGTAGTCCATTTATCGAGGAAGGCTATAGGCTATATATCATCACGCTAAGACCAATAGGAGCGGAGCACCAATGAAGAATGTTTCAAAAACGGAGAAAATTTATTACTATTGAGAGACGCAGACGAAGTTGCGCGGGTCAGCTAGTTATTTATATATCTGTGTATAGTATCCACTGTTTGTTAATTATTATTTTTTAAAAGACATGTCCCGCATTA